CTTGTTACCGATGCTTGCTAAAGTTGTTTTAATGATTTATTCAACAAATGCTAAAAATTTTAACAACACTTTCTTTCCCAGTTTGCAGAATTGTCAAGTATGGGAAAACTGACAATTCAGTTGTTAACTCCCTTCCTTCCCCCCAACCTTTCCATTTAGAGAAATTACTGGAAAACTGTCAGATTTTTTGGAAGCATTTGCAAAACATGAGGAAAATCGCGCAATATAGCATAATCATGTTATATAAGATTATTACTCTAAAAGGCTAACTATTTTAGTTATATTGTGTTATTGTGCCATTAGCACCACTTGACTGCCAACAGCGCAACAGTGGGGCTGCAATCAACAAGGATCTTTGTGTATTTTCCATTGTAAATAGTATCGAGGACAGGAGGGAGAGGCCCTTAATGGTACAATTTTTTCAGTGATTAAGAATACTTGAGATCCATTTCAGGGATCAGAAATGTGTCTTAATGAGACAATTAGTCAAGACACAAAGGCTGCATAGCAATTTAGTTGGGCTACTACTGGCACAATTTACTGCTGCTGTGTCCCTCCTCCTGATTTGAGTTTTACAATAGACTGTGAAAGTCACTGTGGAGAGGATCTAAAAGCAAGATTTTCTTGTGTAATCATTCTCAAATGGCTCTTATTATCTGTGGGGCACTTCAAAAATGAAGGTGACTTCAAAATAATTACTTTGTTTTCAAATCTTTTTTTCAAAAGTTAAATTTCTGTGCTAAATACCTATCTCAATAGGCACAGAATATCCAGGGATTCATAGAGACCATGGCAATTAAGTAATACTTTTGAGCATTTGAACCCCTTACTCCAAAACAATAAAGTGGCACCTTATTTTTCCTTTTGTAATGGAACAGGAGATCTCCTACATGCTGCAAAAAACACTCAAAAACAGGGTTTAAGTTCTTACAAGTTCTAAATCCATCAAACTCTTAGTCAGATTTGATTTATTTTGGTCTTGCTGTAGAGGGAACTAGTGCATCAGCTTCTGCTACTAGCAAATCATTTCTTGGGATGATGTTACTGCAATCCCTTTTGAGTTGGAGAAATCTATGGATTCTCTTAATGTGCAATGCCTTCTACCAGATTTACCTTTTATCTCTGGTAAACTGATCACAGCTCTTTTCTATCCAGAATCGTTTTATACCCCAAATCCCATTCTGTCAAAGGGGGCTCAACTTCCACTAATGTCATCTATTTGTGATCAATTTACCAACAATAGTTACCCGTGTGGCATCAGTGACTGGTTGGATGCGGAAGGAATGAAGAATCAGATTTTCAGGATGGTGCTATACAGTTGCTTTTTGTGAAGCCAACCACTACTAAGTTTTACCTGAAAATATGGCTCCTAAGGATTTGCTTAGTAAACAATTATGGGGTTTCTGCAGATCCTTATAAGTTTCCCTTACACTATACCATATACATTTTTATGCATACCATAGTACAGCAAAAGATCATATCAACTCTGAATTTAGTACAATATTTCAAAATTTCTTTACTTGTATGTAGTCTGATGCATTCTTTGGCATTTCCCTCTTTATCTACTGTATACAGTAGAACATTTTAAGCCCACTGATAAATGGGGCCCACTCTGGCAGAATCTTTGGGCATCTATACATATACTCCAAGGTGGGGGAGGGTGCTTTAATTAGAGTGGCTCCAAGAGTGGCTCTGAGAGCAGGGTGGAGGGGTGGGGGGCTTTAATTAGAGTGGCTCTGCAGCGTCTCATGTATTCAGCATCCTGCACTTCAAAATGGCAGTGGAGGTGCTTGAATTAAACCTTGTTCAATGATTTCATAGATTTCATAGACATTAGGGCTGGAAGGGACCTCGGAAGATCAAGTCCAGCCCCCTGCCCCAGGGGCAGGAAGTCTGCAGGGATCATAGGATCCCAGCAAGATAAACATCCATATGTCTCTTGAAAGTGTTCAGAGACATCTGGATGTTTATCTTGCTGGAATCCTATTATCTTTAGTTAAAGTGGGCTTTAGTTGAAGTGCCCCCGCTGCCATTTTGAAGCACAAGAATGCTGTGTAGATGTGACATGAAGGCTGCTGGAGTGTGTTAATTAGCATGCTCCAGTAAACTTGATTCTGTTCTGACACATGCTAATTAGCATGCATCAGAGCAGACATCCAGCATATGTATAGGTGCCCTCTATGGCTAAGTACCAACAGTCAAAAAACCCAAGACTGAATTGATTCAATCTTCACAGTTTAGTCTACGCTGTGTAGATTGAACCAATTAGCAAGTTAACAGACATTCACTTCTTATTTTGGAAATGCAGCCACATGCCTGCAGTGACCCAGGCAGGAAGCTGGAGGAGGGGGCGACTAGAGCATGCCTTCCTGCTCAACTGGAGCACAGCTTGGGCCAAGGCTAGCCTGCCTATTCCTGTGAAGAGAGGTTTGCTAGGAAGGTACAAAGCATCCTGGCATACTGGGAGGCTGTAAGTTAACTTGAATCTGGAGGGAATCTGGGACAGTAATTCAATAAACCAATTTAACCTAAGTTGGTTAAGCCTGATACTACATCCATCCAGGTTTATCTTAAACCAGTTTCAACTATTTTGAAAGCAGCTCATGTGCACTGAACTTCTTCTGTTGTTACAGATTTAAACCAGTTTCGTATCACTTATACCAGTTTATGTGTAATTTCTCTCCCTAGTCTATATGCCTAAACTCTATCCAGTCCAACAGATGTTCCAGGTGTGCTTGTGGGATCTGGCTTCTATTCTGTAAAGGATTATTTTGTGGTTAAACAATTAGTTTAATCAGGCTAAGAGGTGCAGTGCAGAATTTGCTGACCAGAAGACATGGGTAGGTAGTTTTAAGGCACCATTGTGCCCTCCTGATTCTGGGCTGCTCCAGGAGATGGAATGACTCCCGGTGAAACTTAGCCAGCTGTCCATGCTGCTACTGCTTTAACCTTGCATGCCTGCTAGAATTTACAAGAAGGTCCTGTAAAGACAACTTGTACCTTCCATATGTCCTATGCTGGGGGAACTCTATAGGGCTTTTATATTGCTCCTAGCAAGTGCAGGTCAGATGGGAGGACAAAAATGTAAGACTCAGATTTTCGTAGTGATCACTGTTAAGTACAGCACATCTGTCATTTCTGTCATTATTAATGGCTTTCTGTATATAACTTTGTACAGATACTAGTGGGTTTCTACTGTGCTTATTCTGAGTTTAAATAAAAAAGTCTCAAATGTATAGAAAGCAAAAGAGCTGTCTTTATTGTTCCTTTCGAAGATTGAAAAAAAAGTTCCTGCTTCTCACAATTTAGTGACTGGTATGTTTAGTTCGTACCACTTACTGAAGAATAGGTTATTCAGTGCCTCTGGCATCCTTGAGTTATTAGTAAGGGAACATAGTAGGGCATAGTGGTGGTATTTTGACGGTGTTTTCATGATTTTGCTTCAGTTCCACGCTGTAGTGAATGCAGTTTGGTCATTTGTAATTAAGACCTCGCCCTGCAGACCAAAGTTGGTAGGAGGTATTGCGAGTTATAGGCTTTTTCTCTAGCTCTATAATGGCCAGCCTTTGTTTTGTCATAGCCATGTTCTTAGAAACTGCAGTTGTGCTATCTACTAATACCTAAGGATGTCTAATATCATGTACATTTTGTTGAAATGGTTGCATTGTGATGCAAATGCTGATCCAAGGAGTTCTTATTCCAGAGGAAGGAAATATGTTTGGTTTGTTTTGGTTTGTTGACATGAACTAAACTACCTTTCAAGAACACCAGCATCCTGGCAAAGAACTACTGGCAGACAACTGCATTAACCTGAGCCAAAAATTGTAAAGTGAAGTTGAGGTTGAAGACATGTATTAGAATTAACAAAAATTAGAGAATCAGAAAATCTGAGTTACCAATGAACTGTTGTCCCACAAACTTTAGAAGTAGATTAATATTCAGTTATGGTCATCTAAGCAAACTTAACCTGAGTTTATAATAATGTTATTCTCCCATCTTTCTTCCCTACATTGGTGTCTAATGACCCAAGAAAAACTGATAGACCATTGAATCTTAATGGTAGGTACAAAATTAAAAGTAAGGAACTCCAAATTTGTGCAGTGATTAAATTAATCTGTTTGTTATGGGTGGCCAATGATAGTGAAAAGATTCTGGTTTTCATAGGGCAGCACGAAGGGCCAGATTTATCATTTTGATGACCACATCCAGGCAGACTGGATAGGTTAGAGAAGTGGGCAGATCTGAACAGGATGCAGTTCAACAAGGACAAGTGCAGGGTGCTGCACTTGGGGAGAGGGAACCAGCATTATGGTTATAGGTTAGGGGCTGACCCTCTCGGCAGCACAGAGGCAGAAAGAGATCTTGGAGTCAGGATTGACTCGAGGATGAATATGAGTCGCCAATGCGACGAAGCAATAGGCAGAGCCAACCGCACCCTGTCATACATCAACAGGGGCATCACTAACAGGTCCAGAGAGGTCTTGCTCCCCCTCTATGCGGCGCAGGTCAGGCCGCAGCTGGAGTATTGTGTCCAGTTCTGGGTGCCACACTTCAAGAAGGACGCGGAGAACCTGGAGAGGGTCCAGAGGAGGGCCACTCGTATCGTTGGGGGCCTCCGTCGCCAGCCCTATGAGAAGAGGCTGAGGGGGGATCTTGTGGCTGCCTACAACCTTATCAGGGGCCAGCAGCAGGGACTCGGGGAAAGTCTGTTCACCAGTGTCCCCCTTGGAGTCACCAGCACAATGGCCACAAGCTGAGGGAGGATAGGTTTAGGTTAGCTATTTGGAAGAACTACTTCACTGTAAGGGTGGCCAGAGCCTGGAACAGGCTTCCCAGAGAGGTGGTGCTCTCACCTTCCTTGGAAATCTTCAAAAGGAGACTGGATAGGCACCTGGCTGGGGTCTTATAACCCTGCCCACCCCCAGGGCTCCTTCCTGCCCATGGCAGGGGGTCGGACTCGATGATCTGTCTAGGTCCTTTCCGACTCATTGATTCTATGATTCTAAAAATAAATCCAGCCAGTTGACTGCATGACAGTGTAGTTAAATTTAGCCTTAATTCTAAATTAGTCTTAATTTAGGAAGTGGGTTCTCATGATTTCTGTAAAACAACACATATTAGCCATCTAAGAGTTATAGAAAAGAAGCTAGAATACTTTTTTGATGTACATAAATGTATTAGAAACTTGTGGGAATCATAAGTAAGTATATAGTTAGTTCTGTAAGAAGACAGTATTCTTGTTTCACACATGGCAATATTCAATGCAGTTATGTAGAAACCTGCTACGAGATATGAAAATGTATAGAACTACATGTAGTCTGACATCTGATACCTTGTAAGATTATTACAATTAGTCTATATAATCCAGGGACAGAGAGGAAATGTGCCTGATAATCAATAGGCATTCAGCACTGCTACTCTGGCTTCTTCACAAAGTGGATCCAACTTGCCATCACCTCCTAAAGGAAAAAAGTAACACTTATAAAATAGTTGTAGAATTCTACTCCTAGTTTCATATCACATTCTTTTAAATTCTCTCATCCAACCCATTTTAAATCTACCTTTAAACTAGGTACCTGAACCTAGTTTAAATCTACCTCTTGTGTGATAGGTTGGATTCCCTAAAAGTGTGGCCGTACTAACAAACCAAAATAAACCTGGATTTAATGGAAGAATTAATATTTTCCATCGATTTTTTCTGTCCAAAAAATAAGCAGGACTGATCTTGTTTAACTGCATAATCTGAGACTGAGAAGTACTTGCACTGAAGAATGTCACAAAATACAGAAATATTACAGGAAATGCATGCTGCACACTGTCGGTGATTCATTAGCTAGAAGGCACTCCTCCTGAGGAGATGGTATTTAATCAATGCCTAAAATGAAATTAGAGAGTACTGAAAGTGACATCTTTTCAGATTAAAAAAAAAAGTGGAAGTCCTTGCCATAGGTAGTCATTAGCAATGTCCATTGTGCTACTACACTGAGACAGGGATGGCTAGAAAATGGAAATTACTGTAAAACTTTCATGTTTTGGAGGTGAGGGGAATTCATTCTGAACTGGGACAAAGTTAAAAAGAAAAAAAATACAAACTGTTTGTTGGAAAGAACTTCCAGAAGAATTCTGCTTTTGAGAGAACTGAAATGGAATCTTTTTGCTTCCTGACTGCCCAACCCAAAAGCACCCTGTTGATTTCAGTTTTATTCCTGCAGGGAGAAAGTGGGAATGACAAGTGTCTTTCATGGGCTACGGATGCTGAGTGGGGGGCTCCACTTCCTACTTTGCTGTCTACCCTACTCCAGCCTCAGTGGTGGTTTAGCAGGTGTATATTGTGGAAGCAAAGAGTTGGGGCACTTGACTTCCCTGCCTCTCTCTTTCCTCGCACATCCGGGGAAAGCTGAGCACTCCAGTTCTCTGCTTCTCTTCATAGTTCTCTGCTTCTCTTCATAGTTTCATAGTTTCTAGGGTCGGAAGGGACCTGAGTAGATCATCGAGTCCGACCCCCTGCCATGGCAGGAAAGAGTACTGGGGTCAAACGACCCCAGCAAGGTGTTCATCTAACCTCCTCTTAAAGACCCCCAGAGTAGGAGCCAGCACCACTTCTCTTGGAAGTTGGTTCCAGATCCTAGCCGCCCTGACTGTGAAGTAGCGCCTCCTGATACCTAGCCTAAATCTACCCTCTGCCAGCTTGTGACCGTTATTCCTGGTCACTCCTGGTAGTATTCCTGGTCACTTCCTGGTCACTCTTCCTGCCCTGCAGTCTCTGAGTGGAGCTGAGGAGGCTGAAAATAAAACGAACTTCCATGTTCTGGCCAAACTCTAACACAGGTTACTGGATCCAGTTACAGTATTCCAGTAAACGAATTTCCATGTTCTGGACAAACTCTAACACAATACCTCTCTGCAGTAGCTAAGTACTGTTATCCTTATTTAAGACCCCAGGCACAGAGAGAAACTAAGACTTAGAACAAAAAGGTGTTGTTGCATTGGTTTCAGTGGAAGTTGGGCACCTAAATAAATTTTGAATGTAAACCTAAGTGTTTTGCTCAATATTGCAAAGGGAGGAAACTTAACCCAAATTTCCCAAGCAGTGCCCTAACCAATGGACAATCTTTTCTCTTATGTGCACTTTATGATGGCTTATGTATAAAGAACTGAAGAACTGATAGGCATTAATGTTAATATTAATTAAAGTGACAATTTAGAAGACAGAACTTTTGACATTAATTTCAGAATGAAGTAATATCTAATGAAGGGTACAGCAAAGAAAGTCTGGTACTTACCGAAGTTGAGGTCTTTAATATTGCACTGGAGCACAGTTTCGCCATTCACTACGAGTTCTACAACATTCCAGTCTGGTATCTCTTCTAGGATAACTTGATGTCCATCTGCTTCCAGCACAGCTACAAAAGACCAGAAAAGCAGCCTTCTCTTGGTTTGTCATAAACTTTTGGTATTTCTAAATGTAACTGCTCATGATGACAAGCATGAAAAAATAATGTGCAATGCAGGAAAGCACTGTGCAAACTTCCCTATAAATTGTGGTTGTAATTTTGTAGTTTCAGGATTACTACATTAGTGGGTTGCCTTTGAATGAGCTACTGCATCCTTTCTCTGTTCTAATCTCATTTTAAAAGGCAAGACATTTACTATGCACTTAAATATGCTATTGGCTGGTATAGCAGTCATAAGGAGCACACTGAATTAATTTTTCACTCTAGTATCTACAAGTTTGAAAGAAAAGTATCCAATAAATACTAAAAGGATACTACTGTACAGTTGGAGAACTGAGCAGGCAACTGTATTTGTGTGGCATGTACAATGCATCCTGTGATTTTCTTGACAATATGATTTTTCTGAGATTTTTCTGAATTTGTCTGAGAATTAGGATGAAACATGGTCTCTGCTTATCTTTCCAAATCTCCATTTAAGCCAAAAAATTATTATTTTAAAAATCTTTATGGTCTATTGCAATGGTCCCAACTTTCCTTCCCCTCCCCACCCACCACCGTAGTCCAGATGGGCAGTGCGGTCTCTGTTCACAGGCTGGATCCAGCTGGTGGTCCTAATCCAGTGCCCAGGGAAGGAGCAGTGGCTGGATAGAGCCTGCATGGAGGAGAGGGGGCAGCCCACCCCTGCAGGGGAAAAGAGGACATGGCCCAATGAGGGGGACGGGGGGCGCACAGCAGGGAGGGGGGGTGCATGGGGTGGACAGGGGCACAACCCTCTTGAGGTCTGGCAATTTGGCAGGGGGAGGGTTGCCATAATAATGACTACTATTCCTCCACCTCCAAATTTCTTGACCTGGGGGAAGCCCTGCAAGCTGGATTCCAAGGCCCAATGGGCTGCATTTGGCTGGTGGGCAGGAGGTTGAGCACCCCGGTCTATTTGGTTTCCCACAACAGAGTATCCTGACATGTTAATGCACATTACACAGTGCTGTCTTAACCAGCCGTCCTTCAGTCTTGCTGAATTTAATTAATACAATTCAAACAACATGCTGGATTGGTTTGGATTTTCATGTATTTTGTAAATTGCCTTTTTTTCATCTTATTCTGAGTATACTCCTTGGCAGTGGAAATGCACCATGATAAAATTCTAGCATCAGTTGCTTATCAACTGAAAAAAATTAAAGCTAATTTCTAACTATTTTGTTCAGTGAAGGCCTTGCCGAGGGAGTGCAGGCCTACAGTAAACCTCTAAAAGAATGTATTCAATCAACGTGGATTGGGTCTTTTCCTTGTCCATGCTCTAGTTACTCTTCCTTTCAGGAAAAGTGGACAGAAATGCCACCTTCTCATCTCTAATCCCTTTAATAATTGCTCTGTGTTTAATTTAGTTAGCATAACTTGAGCTGACTGTGTGCACCATGATTGCAGCATCATAACTTAACCGCTGGAGATGTTGCAAGAGAGGACTCTGGCCCAGGGGATCCTGGCTCTTTGCTGGGCAGCGGCTGCTTGGAAACCATTTGGGGAAAGGGGCAGGGAGCCACTGCCAGCAGCTTGGAGACAGGTGGGTTGACAGGACCGCAGACAGAGGTGCTCCCCTCCTCTGAGAATTTGTCTGAGAATTATGACAAATTCTTGGGCCCTGTTGCTAGTTTTTTGGGTCTGTTCTTTTATTGTGGGTCCGGGCCTTTCTTTAAAGGGCTCTTCCCCACCTCTTCGTCCCCTCTTCATTTGGACACAGACAGCGTGCCCTCGCCCGGGGTCGGCTCTGCCCAGGCCTGGGGGCAGGAGGGGCCGCCGGGATTCCCCCTCGTGCCCCGCAGGGGCCAAGAGCGGAGCGGGGCCCTGCAGCCCCCGGCCGCACGCACCTTGCAGGCCCCGCAGGCGGCCGGTCCAGTGCGCCAGTTGTCCGCAGCGCCGGGAAAGGCCGAAGCGCAGCAACACGAGCGCGCGCGGGGGCATGGCGCCGCCGCCCTAGCAACCCCGGCGGGTAGGCCGGGCCGGGGGAGGAGCCCCAGCGCCGAGAGCAGGACGGCGAAGCGGGGCCTCTCCTCGGGCCTGGCCTTGAGGCGGCGCCCACGGGAGCCTACCCCCATGCAGCGCTGCGCGGCCTGTTCGTCTAGTGCAGAGGAGGAGCCCTGTCCTGCGCGGGCCGGGCCCGGCTGTGGGGCCAGCGGCGTCGGACTGTTTAGACTAGATTTTTTTTTGTCTGGTTTGTTGTAGGTTTTGTTTTGGTTTTTTAAACTGGATTCTCAGCAGCGAGCGCCGGGCCGAGGCCCGCTCCCGCCCCTGCCGCGCTCCTCAGTGGACCAGAGCGGGCGGCGACGGCGCTGGGGTCCCGGTGAGCGCTCGGATGGAAACGGCGGGGAACTGGCTACAGGGC